AGTAAGAAAAGAGAAAATAGTCCTAAACCTTTCCTAGTGGTGTTGCCTAACGGTTGGTCTGACCTAAAGATAAGAAACCTGCCTCAGAAATTTATTTTTAAAAATTTTCCCTGGGCCCTTTGTTCAAATGCTACTCACCTGGAAGGAATAACATATTTAAGCATTACCTCAGAATGTGTCCCATTTTCCCCATAATATTAGGGGAGGGATGGGATATGGGACCACGAAATTATAGTAGAGATGGGATCTGGGGAGGCAAAGGAAGTCTGGGTTATGAGCTGCTGTTCCCAGAGCTTCCAAAGGCTTGTTAGAAGGAAGGGTGCCAGAGAGCACTGGACGCAGGAGACTGAAAGGATGCAAACAAAGAGAACTGAGGCTTCCTAAGATGATATTGGTCTAATGGAGAAGCAGGGAGGCCCAGTGGGGAATGTGCTGGACCAAATTATAGTTCTAATTCTACTTTGCAGCCGGGACACCAGGGCACCTCTCTGGCTTCCTTGTGCAAATGTGTTTAATGGTGAGATTGAACTAAATGAAGTTTGAATTCCTTCTTGTGTTGAGGAGGGTGCTGGCCAATGGCGGGGTGACTCTGAGTCTGAATGCATGCTTTAACACATCCTGGGCGGTGCCTTGGCTTGTGTGTTTCCTTGGTTCTTTACAGAGCCTGCCAGGCTTCTCCAGAACTTGTCTGATGCTTGTGAAAACCATCTTAGTGGATGTAGTGAACAGCCTGGTCTCACCTCTCCAGAGAGGTGAATGATTCCTGGAGGCTGTGCGTGAAACTGGGTCGGCCTCTAATGGCCAAAGGCCCATGGGCACAACAGAGTGAAGCCTAGGCTGTGACCAGATGGATCCTGGGAAGCAACTGGTATTTCTAAGATAGCTTCTCCTCAGTCGAAATTCTTCTGTTTAATCCAAGCTATTTGAGGTATTAAGTATACTTGATGTTTGTATGTCATTTACAAGTATTTTCAGATTCTCAAATTTGTCTAAACCATGTAACAACCTGTGAAGTTATTTCCATTTCATAAATGAGGGAGTTCAGAAAAAGTGACTTGCCCCAAAGTTTGGAAACATAATAGGGTTTGTGACACAGAGTGATTTTGTACAAGTCTGTAGCTGGCTTTATCCAAGAGAAGTGAATTACAGAGATGGAGAATGGATTTCAGTCTAAGATGATCTCGATTGCTAGCTGTACCGTGGCAGCTGGCTATAGTGGAATCAGCCTTGGAGCCAGAACTCTCCAGATCTGTCATAAACTAGAGGAGGGACCGTGGACAAGTTGACACTCATTCTCATTTCCCTTGTTTGTGAAAGAGGAGCAAATGACATGACAGGGTAGAGCTGTCTGACATAGTAAATGCAGTTTTCCCTTTCATACGACTTTGAACATGTGGATAAAAATACTCTTAACCATGCTTTATATCTTCTCCTGTGTATTTTCCTCGACTTAGTTTCTGCCTTCAAACTGACTAGAAACAGGCTAGTAATGATCCTTCTGTTTCAAAGGCTTGATTCGGGTTCAAATACTTGAAATTAAACCATATAAAAGGAAATCTTTCTCATTTACAGGCTAGCTGATAAATGTAGGGGGAATCTACGTTTTTGAGGCTGACTGGCCTTGGGAGTTGATGCCAGTGGCCTGGCATCATAGAGATTTACCTAGCACGCTTGAGTGAGCCTGGCCCTGGCTGGGAGGATTACATTTCATCCAGTGTTGAAATCACTTGAAATTCCCCTTATTCATCCAGATACAGAAATAAAAGGAGCAACTCGTGGTCTTGCTGAGGCAAAATCTTTATTGTTAGCCATTACTGAATCCTTTATTCTTTCATTCTTGCATCTATCTGCCAAAAACAGACCGATCAAAATAATATATTATATAAAGAATCACATGCACATGGATTTTCTTATCTCACACCCCACACATATTTCATCAAAAGATCAAATTATATTTTTACTCCATCTTTATCTGTAGACCTTAGAGCTCTATAGAAGCTTTTGAATGAAACAATGACATTTTTTATCATTTTCACTTTTTAAATGTACCAACATTCAGAAGGTTCATTCTTGGGTCTGATGCTTGAAGCTGAGGTAGGATGAGGCAGGAGGACAAACCACCCTTTTTCAATGCCCTGGCCTAAACATTGTTGGTAACACACACACACACTCACACACAGACAAATCCATTCAAGTGATATCCAAAAACTTTTTTTTTTTTTTCCTTTTCCTCTCCACCAATCCCTTTCACATTCTGCTGGAGGCCTCTCTGTGTCCTGCATTTCTATTTTACTCAATAGGAGAAGTTGCTCAGCTACTTGAGGATTCACAAACAGAAGTCATTCTAAACAATTTATCAGGTATGTCTCCCGCAAATATTTACTTGTCCTCTCCCTCTCTGACCAGCGGTCACAACAGTGAGTCATCCATTGAGCTTTAATCCACAGCAGCATGAAATAACAGGAATTCCAGGACTATGACCTGACACTTTCCACTTTTATTAAAATTCTCACTTCCCTCAAAACCTGATTGTCTTAAAGTCAATTTTATTCCACGCGTGGACTTTCAGTTTGTGCTAATTTGCAAGTCTTTTCCGAATTATCCTCGTAAATCAATGCATGAAGTATTTATCAACTCTCATACATACAATTCCTTGACAGATTCAGGAGAACTGAATCTCTCCCCATAGAGAGGACTTTTCTGGAGGGAGTGGGATAGAAGGAATCCCCTTTACGAAATAAGAGTTAGGGGATGGGAACTAAATTTATGCCTTTTAAGACCTTATTAATATATAGAGTTATATGTATATGGCCTATTGTCAGTCCCTTATTCAGTTTCATCCATTTTAGATGAGCATGATGCAAAGTCTACAAACTCAGAGCCACACGTTTATGTCTTGGTTATTACCGCAGAGCAACTAAGCCTGTGCGCCACAACCACTGAATCCCGCGCACCTAGAGCCCATGCTCCGCGACAAGAGAAGCCACCACAATAAGCCCGCGCACCACAACGAAGACACAACACAGCCAAAAATAAAATAAATATAATAAATTTATTTAAAAGAAATTTGAGTCATGCCTTTCTTCATTAAATTAAAAAGCCTAAAAGTACTATACAGATAAATCTAAGCGCTTCACATTAATAAGCAAGTATTTTACCAATCAAAATACTGCTCTTAAGCACAAGAAACAATTTAAACAAGGAGAAGCTCGAATGAAATAAGCCTCTATGCATTCACTGCAAAATTTTATACCATTACCAAAATTACAAACAAAACAAAAAGACAAACTTCTAGTGGTAGTGGACCCAAATGTTTATTATTGCCTCATTTTCTTCTAACCGGGCAACTCTTCTCTATTTCTCCCCTCATGACTTTTCTCTTTGTTTGGTACTCAGCCAACCTCTGAGACACAACTGAACTCCTTCCTCCTCCAGGAAGCGATTTCTGGCCCTCACTGATCTCCTTCAACTCCATACCGCTTAAACCCATCTTACAATTCAGGTCTATCAATAGTATTGATCTCCTGTATGCCTACAACCATTTCCACAGATGCATCCTGGGGAGCAGGGCCGGACCTCCCCTGTATCGCCACCGTGCCTCACCCAGAGCCCTCTCAGAATATTGACTTCATGGAGTTTTGGACATAAACCCATGTAGGAAAGGACACAAGCTATGGCAGCTAGCCCCCTCTGACTCATGGTCCTTTTAAGAATATAGAAGCCTCAAATACGTGAACCAAATTGATTTGGGCCCCCCACCCAAGATCTTGAGTTTGAATTGACTGGTAGTGTGAAATAAATGATACACCTGAGAACTTCTCAATTCCCGTTTGCACCACGAGTTCATAGGCCTGACTGTAAATGACCTTTTACGTTAATGCCCACATTTACTAGTTGGTGCTTTTCATACCGTTTCTCTCAAGAACATTAAATGCAGAACTGTGCCCTTTGTTCTGAAGTATGGAGGCTTTGCTCTATATTGTTTCAGAATCACTGGCATTCCCACTGGGAACAGAGTGGGCCTCATCCTCTGCTCATGACTAAGTCCAGAGACTCTTTGTCTGGTGAAGGAGTTCTGTGACTTTTTAACCTGAGCAGTATTCTACCCATTGCCCATGAATGCCCGGGTTACCAGTGCCAGTGCCTGTATCACTGCATTGCTGATTACAATAAATGTGAGGTAACCTGGTAAGCTGTCCCCAACACCAAACTCAAGAACATTAGTGGCTACTTGAAAGCAAGCTGTATGACTGAACACTCCCAGCTTCCTAAGTTCAAAAGTCTGGTGGACTAATCTTAAGATCGCCACTGCTCTCTTCTTTGCCAAATATGGGCAACAAATACTGCCTTTAACACTATCAGGACACAATTGGGGGTTGCTTTTTCAGTGCTGGGGATAGATTACATGGATACATTTTCCAACCCTCTGCAGCAAAGAGGTGCAGTGATAGAGGTTCATAATCAGGCCCTTAAAGTGAAGGGCACTAGGCTTTGGAATGGGAAAGATCTGGGTTCAAACTCAGGGTGCCATTTGCTAGATGGGTAACCTTGAACGAGTTATAAATTTCTGTGAGCCTGTTTTCTCATCTGTCAAATGCAAACAACCTCCCTCAGCAGGCTTGTGAAAATTATGATATACATAAAACTCCTGACATATTGCTTCAATATAGTAGATACTCAATAAATGTTAGTTACTGTTTTTATTATCCAAGAGTTTGAATTGACTAGAGTCCATGATCTTTAATTCACTATTTCAGTCTTCTCAGAAGAGTCATCCAGGACTAAAGTTAAAAGTATATGTGAGGCTGTTAAATGCCTGTAAAGGTTATTTAGTGGGTAGGAAAGATCACAGCACTGAGGTGGAAGGATGTTGTCCCTGCCCCCACTCCCTTACAGCCCCAACACACACACACACACACACACACACACACACACTCACACATCCCTCCCCCCCAGACTAAACCTGTATGCCCATTTGTCCACGTCTCCAACCCTAGCTGACGAAAATGCCTGTGGTTTTAAAGGTTTTCAAAAATAAGAATGGGAAAGTGAGGCCTCAGAAAACTATATATATTCCACTAGAGGAGAAAGCAAGTTAAGAGAGAGAGGGGTAACTGCTACATTTTCTTGTCCTTAGCAGTATAATGGCTGCCACGTCCTGGAATCTCAGTTTGACAAGATGAAATGACTCGAAGGTCATGGACGGACCTCACTGTCCACTGTGAAAGCTCTTGCAGCACCTTTAGGCCCCACAGCTTCTTCTCAAAGAGACCACCATCTCCAACAATAAGGGGCAACCCATCAGCCTCACTGGAAGGGATCTTGTGTTCCAGAAGCACCATTAATTCTTCCAGCTGGTAAGCAAAGGCAGCGACTTGGAGGAGAATGGTATGTATTGCTTGATGGAAGTCATCTTCAGCTGGAGTAAAATGCACCCGTTGGTCTTCTAACATTCTGGCCAACATACCATGGAAGCTACGATAAGCTTGGAGGTTCTCTTGGAGTCGCTCTGCCTCACTAAGCTCGCTCCATCGATCAGTGCTTGCCACTGGCACACCATGCACAGAGTCCAGGTTTATGTTCTCGTTCAGACCTTGGTGCTTCACCTGGTCAAGGATACAGAAAAACTTCACATCTTCTGTAATCATTCCACCATTCTCACTTAATCTCTAAATCTCATATAAAATCTTATTCACTTCCCTGGTCAAGGATCCAAATTGTAAAGAAAATAGAGAGTCTAGATGAGGAACTCTTCATTTGGGAACCTTGACTGACTTTAGGAAGAACCTATCCTCCCAGAAATTATCCATACTGCTTTGACTACCTGTTCATTTTTCTTGGGAGAATGTGCAGCTTTCACTAGGTTCCAAAGGTTGAAAACCACTCACTGACTGGTCTAGAATAATTTTTCCTTCCCACTTGACACTCCCTCCTGGCAACTGGAGTATTATAATCATACTGGAGTTTCAGTATTTTAAATATACCTGAAGACACTGGCCACACCTAAGCTCTAAAATATAGGCATCGTAGAATTTTTCTAACAGCCCTCTCCATTGCTCACTGTCAATGGTGAGGACAATCCTTTATTAGAGGAGTCAATGGCAATTTTTTTTTTTTTAATTGGTATTTCAAAGAATCTGATTTCTGACTGCTGGAGTTTTATGAAGATAAACCATTTCTCTCCACGGGGGCCTGGAGTGTTTCCACGGCAGGCCTTAGATGAAGACCTCTATCAGAAAACCTGAGATCCATGGTTAGCTCCCTAAGAATCGGACACTTCCCCAGGTCCCCAGTGATTCTTCTACGAGACTTTTTTGATAGTGTAGGTGACCTTTCTATTTAGACACAGGAACACTTTTGATTGTACAGGGTGGCTAATAATGTAACAGGAGAAACTGGTTGGTTTATACTGTTCTTCTCCCAATCCTATAAACCTAACTCCACCTTTCATTTCTAAGCTCAAAAAATCAGAACAATGCACATGAAGAAGCCAAGCTTAGAGGCCTCATGGTTAATCTATTCTGGCAGAATTCAGACAGGTAATGAAATTAGGAACAGCCTCCAGGACATAAAGCCAATTCTACATAGAACCCCTTGTGTATTTTCTTATTCAAGGAACATGTCTCCTGAATAGCCTAGAGAAAGAAAGGTCATATGACTTTCCTTAAGGGAAGGGGCCATGTCAAATGACAGGTGCCCGATATATAAATGACTACATGATTAGGGCTTTTGTAACTGATAACGGAGCTGGAACATGATGTAAAGGGCTGGATCAGAAGAGATGAAGTGAAAATAGACGACAGCAAAATAGGCAACTTACGTAAGATTCCATAAGAGCAGTCAGGTCTGAACGGATCTTCCTTGCTAGCCAGACAGAGCGGCTACAGAGGTCCCGGCGGTGAGGGGTCAGCGGTGAATGCTCTGTGAAAGCCATCCCCTAACTCAACTGTCCCGGGAAACAAGTGAGCTGGGTTTGTTTCTGTCTATATTGGTCCAAATAAGAAATGTGATTCTCGGGCTAAATCCACTGGGCATTTCCCTACTAATGGAATTCAGCACCCACCCCCGCTGCCTGACTCAGAGGTGGCAGCAAATTCCTGGCTGTGGATTTCTGCGCCTGTGGAATCAAAGGCCCCTTTTCACTCGGCTTTCTGTCCTGCAGCGTCTGCCTCCAACTCTCTCCTCCACTCAGGGCCTAGTGTACTTGTTTTCATGTCATTGTTTTGCTTTTGCACTTGGCGACAAGGTCATTATCACACTGATCCTCATGACAGCCCTGCCTAATGGAATCTATTTATATACACTTATAATCAGTTCATTTGATTATCACCTTCTCTGTGCTCCCCACGTCCTTTTCTTTCTTGGCCTGGTAAATTATTCAATAATATTAAGTTATTATTATTGATATAGCTGCCATTCATTAAGCATCTACCCTAGGCCAGACACTGCTAACGGCTTTAGAGCCTTTATTTGATCTTTAGAATAATTCTACAAGATAGTTTCCTCATTTTATATAAGAAATGGAGGCTTAAAGAAATTAAATAATGTGCACAAAATCTAATAACTAGGTTCAAAATTTAAATATAGGTCTTTGATTCTATAACTGTTCCGCCCACTGAGTTTCCAATATCATTCTTTAGGTAGTTCATATTTTGTTCCAAGACACAAAGTTTACATGAAATAGATCCTGTAAAACTACAGCATTTTTTCACTCCCATCCTTTTGCTGAGTATTTAAATTTACACTTGACTAAAAATCAGCTAAGGAAGCATCTGTAATCTCAATCATGGTGCCTTCCTTGTAGCTACAGGATGAGGAAGGTACTGTTTTAGGCCTGTTCTCTTCCAAAGGACAGGAAACACCCAACCCTGACTTGGTAACATTTCTGAGGCAGTCTCACTCAAGTGACAACATGCTTTTCTTTTTCTTCCTTATCCCAGACATACCACATTGCTTCTTAACAAAATAAGAGAATGAGCTGGACTGTGAAATGAAGGCAGAGTTTAAAAGCACTTGGAGAGTTGTTGTTCTATTGCATTTAACTCTGTAGGTTAGAGGATGATGCCAATTGGGTAAGAATTACAAGTTTCATCCCCAAATGAATGTTTTCACTATTTTGTATCATGGACATTACCTCTAAATTGAAACACATGCCTTCTCAGGGGGTAATTTCCATACATAAACAATAATCGAGGGGGCTTCCCTGGTGGCACAGTGGTTGAGAGTCCGCCTGCGGATGCAGGGGACATGGGTTCGTGCTCCGGTCCGGGAAGATCCCACATGCCGCGGAGCGGCTGGGCCCGTGAGCCATGGCCGCTGAGGCTGCGCGTCCGGAGCCTGTGCACAGCAACGGGAGAGGCCACAACAACAGTGAGAGGCCCGTGTACCGCAAAACAAAACAAAACAATAATCGAGGGACATAGGGGAGAAAGGAATGAGGCCGGGGTGGCTGTCACAGTAGGCTTTTTAAGAAGGTAGGAGGATTCTACTTTTTTCTTTTTTTAACTTTATATGGACATTTGAGTTTTGTGAAGAAGCACTGATATTAAATGCTATCAGGGTTTTGTCATTATCAGAGCAAAATTAACCCCACAGCTTCCTTAACGTTCTCTTTACTAGATTAGGAATCCATCTTTCCTAAGGTTGAAACACGGTTGAAAGATTTCCAACTTTGTCAAATGGCAAATCATATGGCATCTCAGCATTAGAAATCAAGAACTGAACTACATCAAAAGTTAACTACCTGATTCTCAACAAGAGCAAACAACAGTATCTGCCACATAAAACCTGCTCTGAGGGCACTTGTTTTTCTTATTTGGCAGCATCAATTATTTCACCCCAGGATAACTGCAACTCAGTACAACCAAGGAAGACCAGTTGCTTCCATGAAGATAACTTTTATTTTTCTTCTTTACATATTTATTTTGGATATGCCTTACCTAGATTAAGAGAAAACAAGGATTTGAAAAGCAGAGTATCCCTTTTATTATAATTTCTTTTTACATAACCTTTTCAACCTAGATTCAGGTACTACCTGTCTCTCCCACCAAAGGAGAAGGGTCCTGCATATTACAACAGGCAAAAAAGGCTTCTAGGAAATAAAATATTTTAAATTGATTCATTACAATTTTTCAGTTTTCTTGAGTACACTGGAAAGTGGGAAAAAGACAGGAGGGAAAAATGGTGCTTCGAACAGCCGGACTGTAATAACCTTAGTTAGGTTGAGTACACTCTATATTTTTTTCTCCAAACAGGTTCTAAGGAAGTTCAAGTGCTCTATGTGAATGCTTTTCCATACCTCAATGTATCTATTTTTACTCCCAGTAATCTTGGCCAGTGTTTATCTAAATTCTCTGAAGCATATTAAGTCTCAATTTTGCAAAATAACCCTGGGCAACCACAAACAAGGGAAAAGATGTATTTCTACAAGATGTATTTCTATATCTTGTAGAAATAATATTTGTATTAAGTACATTTTCAGAATTTAGAATTGCTAATTCAAGATGGAGAATATGCTGTCGGAAGAGTTATTAAAAAGGTAGCAGAATTTGATTAAGAGTAGGAAATGTTGGGCTTCCCTGGTGGTGCAGTGGTTGAGAGTCCACCTGCTGATGCAGGGGACACGAGTTCATGCCCCGGTCCAGGAAGATCCCACATGCCGCAGAGCAGCTGGGCCTGTGAGCCATGGCCGCTGAGCCTGCGCTCCGCAACGGGAGAGGCCACAACAGTGAGAGGGTCGTGTACCGCAAAAAAAAAAAAAAAAAAAAAAGAGTAGGAAATGTAGAATTTTAAGATTAAGAGTCCCTTAGGACAATGAAGTAAACATATGAGGAGCAGAAAGGAAAAGGGACAAGAACCTAGTATAAGATAGTTTACTTTAACCAACTCTTTACTTTGCTAGCACCCCTTTCCTCAAAAGGAAAAAATCTTAAGTCCGTGAAAAATATTTTAAAACTTATCGCAAACTGCTATAATAATTTATTGAAGCAAATTACAGGTAAATGAAGATGAGTAAAAAAGGGAGAAAGGAGAAAGTTTCTGAGAACTAACTAGCTGCTTTTGGTGGGGAGGAGTGTGATACAGGGAAGAATATATTTTCCATCTCGTAAAGTTTTTTTTTTTTAAATGCAGTTTGCTTTTGTGTAGGTGGCTAAAACATCTGATGACTAACAACTGCAAATGTAATTTATGGAGACAAAGGATAAGATAAATGTGACGAAGACAAAAAGTAAAGTGGGGTATAGATGTTAGCTAGTAAAACAGTACAAAATGGACTTAATACGGGAGTGGAACAACTTTGTTTTAGACCCATCCAGTCAATCTTATAATATTTCCAAATTTACTCAACATACCAAAGTCAACTCCAAATCCTTACTGTGGGCAGGAAAGCATACTCTATATCCCTTCTAACCTTATTCCATTTTCTACCCTCACACTGAAGGGGATGGCAAATCTGCAACACTGAAAAGAAACAACAGTACATTTAAGACTGCTCACTGTAGGTGTTTCACTCCCTATTCCCTGGCATCCCAACCACTGACACTAGTGGGTGTAAAGTAAGCCTCTTTCAGAGATGACGTTTTGTTATCCTTCTTTTTGGGGAAAAAAAAAAATCAAAAGAGAAAACTGATAAACTTTGTAGTTTTAGTGTCTGTGAAAAACAAGCTGTTCCTTATTTTGTTCTCAGCAAAACTTCATTCTTTCCAACAGCCATCATACATTTCTGACAACGAATAGGGCAAGCCTTTAATTCCAGTTTCTGAGGTACGTAGGAGAGACTGCCCTTCTAATTCTCTAAAAATGGGCCAAAATATGTTTTTAGTCTTCTGGAAGTTATGAAGTTGTACAAAACTGTCTCTCCCATGGACAGTAAGTAATCCACCCCATGAAAATCCCTACCTCGAGGGAAATGATAATTCCTACAATTTCAGGTGAAAACCAAAGCATTATACAGATTATTAACTTTGTTGAAGCCTTTCTTCTTCTGAAGTGTTATTAAAAGGGAAACAAAACAGAGCAATTTTCTTTTACTTACAACTGTATGACTCAAGACTATTCCTTCACTGATGGCAGTGTCCTTCACTAACTGGGAGCTGGAATGAACCAATGATAAAGCAAAGCAAAGCAAAGTAAAGCAAAAGCAAAAGCAAAAGCAAAAGCAAAAGCAAAAGCAATAAGCAAAAGCAAAAGCAAAAGCAATAAGCAAAAGCAAAAGCAAAGCAAGGGGCCAGAGCTGGGATAATAGGGAGGTCTGTATAGGGAGCTCTAATAGGGAGGTCTGTATAAAGAAATGATGGGGACAAAAAAGAAAATCAATAAATTCACAAGAGAAAACCTTTTATCTATAATTCAGACCCTGAACAACCTTCCTGATCCCCTCAAAATTCCTAAATCTTGATGCTCTAAAAACTCAGACCACTAATTACCACAAACCTAACATCCTTCCCTAAAGAGGTTTCCGGAAAAGCACTAGGCTACTGTAGTGATTCTGTTCGTGCTGAGGACCAGCTTTCTTTAAAGGCCACTAGACAGCTATGATTTTAGAGGCTGGCTGTGCTTCTTCAACCCTGTATCTTGCCTTCTACAAGTACCTCTTATGCAAAGGACCCCATGTCAGAATAATCTAATCTCTCCCAGCCCCACAAAATATAGCAACAAAGACAAAAAAAAAAAAAAAAAGGAAATCAGACTTTGTTAATAAATAAGGAATCTCAGGTTCCACAACACAAAAACACACATGTTCAAAGTGCAAATTTCTGCCACTAGTCTGGGACTTTTCTCACTGATATAGAACCCTGTCTTATGGTCAGAGAGACCATGTAGACAGTAGCTCCCTCCCTGTTGGGAGCCTGCTTGCAAAGCAAGTGAGCACCACTGAGAACCTTATGGAGGTGTTGGGAGGGGGACTGAGGAAGGTGGTGTGGTGAAGAGGCAGGAGGTGGTCCCCATGTATCCTTCCTTTCCTAAACCCAGGGGGAATGGAGGGAAAGGGGGTGAGAGATGTGTGCTGTTTTAACAGCTCACCCTGCTAAGGGGCCCTAAAGTGCCAAGTCAAGCTGCCAGCCTCCAGAGGTTAGAATTATATACTTTGAAGATAAATGTGCTGCAGGGGATAGAAGCCAGAACCATAGGGAAGCACTAAAGGAGGAGAAGGGGTTTAGAGAATATTAATATATTATTAAGAGTTAAAAGCTGACCCAGAGCACATCAGAGTTACAGGCTGAAAAGGGGGATCTGCTGATGAGCAGGAAGTCTGCCTGGCTGGAACTGAGTATAAGAATAACCGTTACTTTAAGAGCTACTGCTGCTTTTTCTTTGTCTAGCTTTCTGGTAAAGGCAACATCAATTTTTTAAAGGGGACAACAGAGGGAGAAGAGGGGATGTGTGTGTGCGCGCGTGTGTGCGCGTGTGTGCTGTGATCCACAATGGAAAGAGCAGGCCCTTCAGTTATTTTACTAGATTTTAAATGCTTTAAATTTTTTTTTTTTGTCCTTTTTGTCTTTTAAATACAAAGTCTTAGCTGTCCCAGTGCCCAAAGTCTTCCCTTCCTCTAAGGTCCAGTAGAGTCTGAATCTTCAATCAGAACCTCTGTGGTAGCACCGAGTATATCCGAGTTCATGACCAGCCCTTCAGTGCCCCCACTGCTGCCACTTCCCACAAAGATCTTCCCATCAGCCATCAGGCTCACCCGTTCTGTCCCACTACAATATGACTTTGACATCCCTTCAGCCTCTAGCAGAAGGCACTCTCCAGAGGTGGAGTTTCCCAAGGGCTCAGGAAGAAGAGGAAGACCCTGACCGTCTGCAGGTTGTGTCAGGGACTCTGCATTAGTGCCCAAGATATCTGTGCTGGTGATGAGGGCGCCGGCATTGGCAGCCAGAGCTTCGGCAATCAGCACCTCAGGGTGGCTTTTTGCTTTGTGAGCCACTACGCTGTCCTTCTTCTCAAATTTTTTGCCACAGATATTGCAAGAAAACTGGTAGAAGGAGTCTGCATCGTGCTTCTTCATGTGCCAATTAAGGGATGCCTTTTGCCGACAAGTGAATCCACAGATCTCGCACCTAAGGAGAGGGAAAAGGAAATAGCTGATCAAATAGAGAAATAAAGAGACCTCTCATTTAGCGTCAGGGTGAGAATTTAGAGGTTACATTTATAAGCAACAGTCAGTAATATATACTTCTTGTGGAAGATTAGGAAAAGTTAATAGAAAACTAATCTGATTTTTTCCCCTTTCTGTTTGTTTGAAAAAGAGGAAAACAAAAGAAAAACATGACTAAGTAGCTCCCCTAATCAATACCCACTCTTTTTTTTTTTTTTTTTTTTTTTTTGCGGTACGCGGGCCTCTCACTGTTGTGGCCTCTCCCGTTGTGGAGCACAGGCTCCGGACGCGCAGCCTCAGCGGCCATGGCTCACGGGCCCAGCCGCTCCATGGCATGTGGGATCTTCCCGGACCGGGGCACGAACCCTTGTCCCCTGCATCGGCAGGCGGACTCTCAACCACTGCGCCACCAGGGAAGCCCAATACCCACTCTTTAATTTGGTAAAAGTAAAACAGCAGTGCCAGCTGAAATGTTTGTAAAGGGTCTAACCCTCAAGTGGTGTATATACACTTAGACCCCAGATGTTCACCAGTAAATAAGTACTCACTGTAATGGCTTCTCGCCAGTGTGAATCATCCGGTGCACTGCCAGATTGTGGGAACTCTTGAAGGCTCGAGCACAGTATTCACAGATATAATCTCGTTGATCTAAGAAGAAAAATAATGTGGTTATTTAGTGTTCCATTTAGAATCCCTCTTAAGTATTTTTTCCTAGCTTACAACAAGTAAGCAGATGATCAGGCAGGTGAATTTAGAGGACAAGCAATACTGTTTTTAATATATAAGCACTTTGGATAAACTTATAATAATATCATTTTTATCTCTTAGTCCATTCATTCAGTAGCATACGAACCTATTTTATAAAACAAAAATAAAAAACACAGCTAGACAGAAATATGAGAACTGGAATCCTAATCTCAATTACCAGTAATCCAGACCTTGGATAAATTGGTTAGCAAGTAAACAATTATATTTTACATAGCTTTTATTCTTAAAACAGCTTTTTTCACAGACTGTGAAAGCTGAATGCTTACATACAAAGAATCTAGCATTCAACAACAACAACAAAAGAAGTTGGCATTCCCTAAAGAAAAGTGACCCAAATATAAAGTGCTACTCATATCTTCTATTTCAGATTTTTTAAAAAGTTACCCAAGATAAACAATTTAAACTTCTCTCAAGAATTCTATGGGGCAAAGGAACACTGGACTTAATTTCTTATCAACTGGTTGAGAAGAAAGTGGACAAACAGATGCTCAACATACATTTGTTGAATAAATGGCCACTACCCATTTTCTATGCCTTTCACTTAAAAATTACTAGAAATAGTCACAGTAAAAACATAAGGATAAGTCAAAAGGCAAACAGTATCCAATTTAATCTTACATTCCATCCCAAACAGTTCTAAAACCAAGTGTGGGAAAAGAGTCAAGTTTTTCTCAAACTTGAATGTACTGAGGACTCACCTGGGGATCTTATTAGATGCAGACGCTGATTCAGTTGGTCTAAGGCAAGGCCTGAGATTCTCCATCTCTAAATGGAGCTAAAGTGATGCCAATGTTTGCTGGTCTATGTTCTACGTAATGAGTGGTAGGGTCTAAAAATGCATACTTCTAACTCAGGGACAATTTCTTAGTATCTCTCAGGTCTTGTCCACTTTTCCAGCTCCACAGTCGCATGACAAACCCATGTGGGGCATTCCACTTGCTTAAATAAATTGTATTTTCAAAAGGAGCCAGTAAACACTAATTTGGAAAAGGAAAACTCTCTAACACTGACATCATAAAACTGTATCAACCAAATATAAATATCTAGAATGGACTGAATTTCTAAAACACTGTTTGTCATAGTAGGCTTGTAATATTTAACTAAAACAGTCTAAACTGGTTGTCAGAAATTACTTTTCTATAGGATAAAACAGTGTAGCAGGGAGAAGGAGTGGAGAAATGGCAGCTTCTATCAAGAAACAGTGGAGACAGCATACTCTCTGAAGAAACATAGTGTAACGCAAAGACAGTAGACTTTGGAGTGATTAAGACCTGAGTTTAAATTGCAGTGCTATCAGGTGCCCGGCCCTGTGCAATAAACAGCACTTTATAGGTTATCTCATTTCATCCTTGTAATAACTCAGTGTTATTGGTAACATTATTAGCTTTATTTTACAAATGAGGAAAAGTGAGAAGAAATTAAGTAACGTTCCTAAGTCACACATTTAGTAAATGATGGAAAGGGTATATATATGACACTGACCATATGACCTTGTGCAAGAGACATGAAATCTCTGCTACTGGTATTCTTAGTCTTACCCTCCAAGGATTATTAAGAATATCAAATGTCTGGCATGTGCTCAATTACCACTAATACCCAGCCTAATTTGTTCCTATTAGCTACACTGCACTAAGACTGTCAAGTGGATAAAAATGAACGATGTCTGAATCCATTCTATAACATGTATTACAAAGACATTCAGTTTCTCTTTTTGAGTCAATAGCTCCTCCTCCAACAGGAGGTTATATGTGAATTCAATAGCTAGCCTTTACGATTCCAATAGGAGAAGTCAAGAGCTCCTCAGTAGGTAACGTGAACGATGAGCAGCCCTCCTTCCCGTTTCAGCTTTCTCCACATACTCCTCATTTTCAGTGCAGGTAGTTACTACGAGTATCTATTTACCTGAGGCAGAATTAGAAAACCCCAGTTCTGCTAAAACTAGCTGTGTGACCACAGGCAAGTTACCTAATGTTGCTCAGCCTCTGGTTTCTTAGCTGTAAAACAAACTTGGTGATGTTGAATCAGTGAATTTAGCTACTTGATAAACATTTTATTTAAAAAAATACCTGTATGATGTTTGGCATGTCGTAGAAGTTGCTTCTGGAGCCTGAAGAGTCGTCCACAGGAGGGATGGGGACATACGTATTTCTTCTTCAGCAAATGCTGATATTTAATGTGGTGCTAAAACAGTAAAAGAAAGTGAAGGGGGGAAAAAATTAAGGATTCCAGAAAGCTTAGCTTAGCTCATCCCTTTGCTAAGTCAAAAGTGCTGAAGGAAACCCAAATACTCTGTATATGAACAGGAAGCAGTATAATAAAATGATTACCAACATAGGCTACAGAAACAGATTCCAATCTGGGTCTGGCATGATCTTAGAATATAATACTTCCATATGGAAGTATTATATGGAGGTAATGATAACTGTGTTGTAGTGTTGTTGTGGGAATACAGAGATCATATATTGTACGGTGCTTAGTGCAGCAAATAGTACATGACAAAAGAAGTGTAGCTATCATTATTATAGTAGAACCAGAATCAGAAAGTAAGGCCTTAGTCTATGTTATACTTGCTGCTAAATAAAGATCAAACACTTCTTAAGCTTTAGTAATTATTATTTCACCTTCATGTTTTCTGCCAGACCTAAATACAAGCTGTATCTTCACTCATTAAAAAAAAATCTGGGATTTCCCTGGTGGCGCGGTGGTTAAGAATCCGCCTGCCAATGCAGGGGACATGGGTTCGAGTTCTGGTCCGGGAAGATCCCACATGCCGCGGAGCAACTAAGCCCATGCACCACAACTACTGAGCCTGTGCTCTAGAGCCCGCGAGCCACAACTACTGAAGCCCGCATGCCTAGAGCCCCTGCTCTGCAACAAGAGAAGCCACCGCAATGAGAAGCCCGCGCACCGCAACAAAGAGTAGCCCCTGCTCACCACAACTAGAGAAAACTCACACGCAGCAACGAAGACCCAAAGCAGCCAAAAATAAATAAAATAAAATAAAAAATAAATTTTTAAAAACATGCAGAATGCACAGCAATTTATATAAAATTACTTTTAAAAAGCCTGCTCACTTAAAAATAAAAAAAACCTAAAAACTAAAAATTTTAGAATTTATTCTAAATAGGATTCAAAAAGTCACTGGTTTTAGTTGCTAATTTTATTCTTTAAAAATACACATTAAAATAAAATCTGTTCCACTGTGTCTGGTCCGGGAAGATCCCACATGCCGCGGAGCAACTAAGCCCATGCACCACAACTACTGAGCCTGTGCTCTAGAGCCCGCGAGCCACAACTACTGAAGCCCGCATGCCTAGAGCCCCTGCTCCGCAACAAGAGAAGCCACCGCAATGAGAAGCCCGCGCACCGCAACAAAGAGTAGCCCCTGCTCACCACAACTAGAGAAAACTCACACGCAGCAACGAAGACCCAAAGCAGCCAAAAATAAATAAAATAAAATAAAAAATAAATTTTTAAAAACATGCAGAATGCACAGCAATTTATATAAAATTACTTTTAAAAAGCCTGCTCACTTAAAAATAAAAAAAACCTAAAAACTAAAAATTTTAGAATTTATTCTAAATAGGATTCAAAAAGTCACTGGTTTTAGTTGCTAATTTTATTCTTTAAAAATACACATTAAAATAAAATCTGTTCCACTGTGTCTTGGTGTGTTGTTACGCAATCATTTCTTGTATCAGGAGTATTTACACCATGAAAAACACTGGAATATTCCAAGATCCCAAGGAAATATTTAAGCTCAGGTTCTAAATCACTTAAAAAACAACAACAACAGAAACTCAACTGAAGTAATTTGATGCTTACAAAAAGATTTTCCTTGACATTACACATTTAATGATAAAGCCTACACAAGTCCACAAATTGTAAGCTCTCATGAAGTATGAGAACTGGTAATGGAACGTAACCTGCAAGGCTGCCTTATTTAACAACTTCACTGACCTGCAAATAGCGAGGGTGAGCAAGAACAGTTCCACATCCTTCCATCTCACAACGGACATACTGGATTGGAGGCTTTTTTCTATTAGCAATATGTAGGAGAGAAGTTAGCAACAGAAAAGAGGCAGTCTGCACAGTGGCCAAACTGCACTATACGGAATAGGTATTTTACAGTATGAAGAATTAAAATCTCTAAGTTTATAGCTTGCATAGTATTTATGTTAGAAGTAACCAGAAATTGCCAAATGTTTAGAATTTTTAAAAAAGAGCACAAAACAAACTAGTAACTCCCCAAAAGGCAAAGAAGTGTTAAAATTTTTAGAAACTTTAAGATCCTGCAATGGAAATAAAAACACAGTAACTCTGCATCAAGGACACTAGTGAAGTTGCTTTTGTGAAATTTTTAACTAGCCATTCCCACAGGATAATTATGAGGGCTGAACATGTGAGTGAAGTGCCCACCACCAGAAAGAAGGCACAACACAGCAGGAGTATAAATTACTCACCTCCTTTTGGGTAATCGTGGACTTTTGTCATCTTTTCGCCTTCTTCCTCTCCTATAATTAAAGAGCAGAGTAACTGTCCACATATTCCAGATTGAAGCTTATATAGTAAAGGAGAGCTGAGGACATACCCTCAAGACCAAAGAGTAGGTGGCAGAAACAAAGGATAACCCAGAATACATAAAGCCAAAGACGTATCTGGCAAACCAAACAAAGATTTCACTCTGAAGCAATTTCACTTACAAATAAGTCTGCACCACAAGTTAAAATATATACCTTTCATAAACTACACATTTCTATGGAAGATATGGATAAACCTCAAGGTTACTACTTGAAGACTTGTTTCAGTGAAAAGTCTATCACTTATATTTAATCAATTTAAAAAGTAGAATAAACAAGTCTATTATCTAAAAACCCTAAGAACATAAACTAGACTCTCCTTGCAATAGAGACAAAAGCCTAGACACTTAAAAAAGCTATTTCTGCAACAGGAAATAATTGCTAGCCAAAAGTTTTCACCTGATCAAGGTTATTACATCATTTGCTTTATTTGCCCCTCTTCTGAGGATCCATATTTGCCATACTTTTCTTGCTACCTCTACCTCCTCGGCATCCCTAGAGCTATTATTGTCCTACCCACTCAACTGAACGTCTCTTAAGTATTGCTTTGAATTAAACTTTTGAAGCTTCTGGGCAGAGTCTTTCCAATGAAATTGTCAGCTGCTTAAGACAGCAATATGTATATGTCAATATCATTCCTCACACTCCTACCCTTTTTCCACTAGTGGCTTGAAAATCTGTTAAATTTCCATTTTTAGTAGGAATTGCCTACTCACTTCCTAGGAGGCTCCTCATCTTCTCTAATTTCATTCTCTTCTTCTTTCACCTCTACCTCTACTTCCACTTTTATTTCTTTCTTCTCTTTCTCTTCTTTCACCTTCCCTGATTTTCTCCGTGGCTTTGGGGTTTCCCTGAAAATACAAATACATTTCAATACTGGTATCCAGCAAAGGACCCTTTCAAGGACAACTGTGACAAAAGGGTAAAGCCAGGAGTTATCAATGATTTATTATAAAATTATGCTCTTCAGGCGTCCCTGGTGGCGCAGTGGTTAAGAACCGCCTGCCAATTCTGGTCCTGCTGCGGAGCAACTAAGCCCGTGCGCCACCAACTACTGAAGCCCACACGCCTACAGCCCATGCTCTGCAACAAGAGAAGCCACCGCAATGAGAAACCCGTGCACCATAACGAAGAGTAGCCCCTGCTCGCCACAACTAGAGAAAGCCCGCTCGCCACAACTAGAGAAAGCCCACGCACAGCAATGAAGACCCAACGCAACCAAAAATAAATAAATAAAATAAATTTTAAGAAGAGAATATGTTCATAATATATAAAATGAATAAATGCAAAATTTAAAAAATTAAAATAAAATAAAATTATGCTCCTCAGTCCATGAAATGTGGTTTCCAGCCAGCTATTCCTCATATGTACATCATACATATATTTAGAGCCTATGAGACGACCCGCCCCCTCCGCAAGCTAACAATGCCTTAGAATCAAATCTCACTATAGCTGTAAAGAGAAACAAAAGTAAAAAATTCTAAGTATTCAGGCAATTCATGATACCTTAAGATAAAACAGGCAGACATCATAATAATTTGAATATGATCAAAACAAAGTTCTATAAATGGAAGAGAGGGCTCTATGAGGGAGTAATAAGATAATGTTAGATTCGTAAAATGAGTGCATAATTAATTACTCATTTAAAATTAAGTCCATATCCATTAGTTTGGCAACAAGGTGAAATAAAAGCATGCAACAATGCTTTCCTAACTTATTTTTCACTGACAAATCTGAGACATACCTTTCTAAGTGGGGTTTGTAGGTCTCATCCCTTGGATCATCTTTGAACGGTATTTCTTCTTCACTGATCAACATCTCGTCTTCCTCCTCTTCCTCCTCATCACTGCTAAAAAGAAGCAAATAGAGGTTAGAAATTCCAGCTGTATGAATTATATCTGACTTGATTTTATTCAGTAATTTATTTAGAGGTAGCTGAAGATTTACAGTAAGTTATCTAGGATTTTCATTCTTATGGTGTAGTTGGACTGCAATCTAGCTGTTTATCCTAAAGAATAGTAATTGAAACAAAAAATATATAAATCCTAGACATGCTATCACTTCATTAAATAAAGGCAAGGCAATGATGGCTCGTGACACTAAGAGTTAAAAAAACAATTGACAATTATTTCAAGTAGAAAACAACTTCTGAGTCATGTGATATGACTGACTGTGTTCTACATCCCCAAGGGTTTAAATACGAAATATGAAAAGTTTCTTACCTAATGCCACCTGGAGACTGATGCTCTTCTGCAACATCTAGAAAAAGTCCAAAACAAAACTTTATCTATGTAGATACAGATATTTTCTCTCTGCAGCCAAGAGACTCAAACCAAATTACTGCCTAGGGTAATTATACAAAAGGAGAATTATCTGCAAATGTCAAAAAGGAATCCTTCCTGTAACACCACACTTACCCCTGAAAGTTAAGCTGTTCTGGTAAATGTTCAACATTACATTTAAAATCAACAGGCAACTGGTTATTAAATAACCATACTCTATATTCACTGTACCATAATCAAGCTGATCTGTATTTGGTTCTGACTTGCAGATGAGTTGCAATGAACCAGTCTTGGACCTAGAGCTTCGGGTGTTCTCTGTGTCACGATGCCGAGAGGCAGATGTCCTGCTACTGCTACGCCAGCCCCGGCTAGGCTTAGCTGCAGCAACGGAAACTTCCTGAGGGACGGTAGAACCTTCTTCCTCTTTCTCTTCCTTGGGATCTAAATGAAAACATACATCATTCTTTTAAAGTTTATAGTTAACCAATAACAATCTCTGTATATCTACTCTTATAAATATAGTCAATGGAAAGATGATAAATGGTTTTTTTTCTCCCCCTGCCCCAGAGGGGAACCTCAGAATTTTACTGATATAATAGAAACAACAAGATGACAGTAAAATTTGATAAAACTTATCCTTATTGTCATCAGTCTAAAGAAAAAACTTTGTATGTTGCAAAGTAGTTATTTTACATTTATAGTATATTTTATATATATACTACAATATAATGCTAAGAGAAATATACCTATGATCTAACCTTTTGTTCTATATTTTAACCTTTAGATCTAAGACAGAAGAAACTAAATTGAGTGAGTGGTCCCAAAAAGATGACCAGATCTACTATAAGAAAGAAGCACACGTCTAGACGATTTAATAATCAAACAATGCTTCAAGTAAGTACTGAAGAGGAATTCCATAAAGAGGAATTCCATGGTAGGAATGCCTTCCCTTGATTCTATTCAATAATTTTACTTAGTATATTAAAAGTGAGCCTATATTGACCATGGAAGATCTTTTTAATAATCTCAGAATGGTAGTCCTTTCTAAGAATAGCACAGAATTTAGGTCTTAAGACTGATACATCTGACTATATAAACATAAAGTTTTCTGCATGGCAAATTCCTCTATAAGCAAAGTCTAACAGCCCAACAGAAAAATGGCAACTCAGTAAAAACATATGGTTTTCAGATATATGAACAAACAAAAACAATGACAACAAAGCTCAATCCACTCATAACAAGAGAAACTCAAATGAAAATCATATTGCTGTAGTATTGTTCCCCTAGCATATTGGCAATGATCCAAATGTTTGTATTGGCAAGGCTGTAGGAAAATAGGAACTCTTAATAGAGATAACAGTGTGAACACCAGCAAAACCTTTCTATAAAGGACAATTTGGCAACATCTATCAAAATTATAAGTACATATACCTTTTCACGTTAATTTCAACTACTAGCAATTTATCCTACAAAACTAAAATCACACTTATAAAACCCACATCCATAAAATGTCCAAATACTATATATATGTGTGTATACCCGTGGTATAAATAAATCAATCTATGTATTTATATCTATATATCACAACAACACTTCTGGACAGATTTCAAGAAATTGAGATAAATACTGGTCACCTTCCAGGGGAAGGTCCAAAAATACTTCCAGTAATTCCACCTCAAAGTATCTACCCTAGGAAAATAAACTGGCACATGGAGGTTCACTATAACATGTTTATATTAGCCAAAAGATGGAAACAACCTAACTCTCCACATTAAGGAGCCACTGTTTATTAAATAAACCATGACATATCACCAAGATAGAATAAAACACATGGAGGTATCTGTAAAGAATGACATGGAATTACTGGCAAAAATGTTAAATGGAAAAAATAAAACTTCATACACACACACACATATAGTATGGTAATTTTTTTGCTTAACCTTTAAAAAAAATGATCTGAAAAACTATAGTTTCCTCCACTGTGGAACAAGGTGGTGACTGGGGGATATTCCAGCTTTAAATACATTGTTTGAAAGTTTTATGAGAACATATTAAGGTAATGAAATAACATTCATTTGAAATGCAGATATGAATAGCAGTGGGAACTTTAAAAGAACGGACATAATTATTAAATCAGATATACGTTTCCTTTGATTTCCCTTTCACCACTAAAATGTCTTTCTTACCTTTCTACTATCTGAGCTACTTCAAGTATCAAAATAATAATAATAAAAAGTTTACAGTTGAAAATACCTTAAAGATTAACTAGTCTAAGTACAATCCAATGAATTTTCCCCTTAAAGTAACTGGAATGCCAATGAAGACAACTTGTTCAAGATCACAAAGTTATCTAAGCAGACCTGGATTTAAAAATCCTGGCTTGAGACTAGTAATCTAGGACTTCTACATGTAGGTCATGGCTGCTTTTAAGAAAAGTTCTTCAAAGGGAGCAATTCAATACCCTCCATAAAGTACTGAACATTACATAATGAAGAGAAAATTATTTCTTTTACTCAACCCAGCTACGCTAATTTGGACTTTAAACCTATTCCATAACTTCCTATATTCAATAAAGCTCTTTTATACTTCACAATGAAAGGACTGTATGCCTACATTTTCTCATACTGTGGATATCATCCACTGGACAAATAACAGCAATTTGATGAGAACTGCTTATCCTTATAAAGCATAATAGCCTATTTTATTGAATAACATACCCATTCCGTAAAACTCTATAGTTAAAAAAAAAAGCATTGTCAGAGAGTGACATCAGCAAAAATGTCCCTTTTCAGAAACACACACACACACCACACACCTGCCAGAATCAACTTTGTAAGAACTCTGGGATATAGTCATAAGTTTACAGCAACCAAGTAAACACTGAAGCAAGAAAAAAGTTAAACAAGCCATGTAAGGAAATCTCTGTCAAATCACACGTTGGGCACAAGCTTAACCAAACAGAGCCTTTAGAGAGACCACACAAGACAAAGAATATGATTTTTTAAAATATGGTCAAACAGCTAAAGGAAATCACTGACAAAGAACTAAAGGAAATCAGGAGAATGATGTCTCAACAAATAGAAAAGGGCCAACAAAAAGACAGTAATTATAAAAAGGAACGAAACAGAAATTCTAGGGCTGAAAAGTATAATATCTGCAATCATTAAACAGCAGATTTGAGAAAGGAGACAAATCAGCAAACTTTAAGATAGGTCACAATGAGAGCATCTAGTCTGAAGAATAGAAAGAAAAAAATGAAGAAAAATTAACAGAGACTAAGAGACCTGTGGGGCACCATTAAGCAAATCAACATACAGAGTCCCAGAAGGAGAGCACAGAATGGAGCAGAAAGAATACTTGGAGAAATAAAGGATAAAAATGCCCCCAAATCTAAAAAAAGACACAAATCTACACAGACAAGAAACTCAACATCCTCCTTCAAAGTAATGTTACATTCACAGGTACTCAACATCTTCTGGGGGGAAACAAACTGATAGCAAGTGGCTCCGTCAATATCAGACAAAACAGACTTCAAGCCAAAGAACTGTTAAAAGAGTCAAAGAAGGACACTGTATATTAATAAAAGTCAATCAATCAAGAAGGTATAAGAATTATAAACCTATACATACCTAATATATGAAGCAAAAAATGACAGAATTGAAGGGAGAAATAGGTATTACTAAGATAATTTGGAAACTTCAGTATCTTACTTTCAGTAATGAATAAAATACTCAGAAATTCAAATAGGAAATAGAGGACCTGAGCAACGCTATTAAAACAAAATTAAACCTAACAGATATATAATACTTCACCCCAAAACAACAGAATACACCATTTTCCCAAGTACACACAGAAGATTCTCCAGAATAGACCATATATTAAGCCACTCAAGTAATTTAAAAAGATTGAGGGACTTCCCTGACACCGCGCTTCCACTGCAGGGGGCAAGGGTTCGATCTCTGGTCGGGGAACTAAGATCCTTCCTGCCATGGGGTGTGGCCAACCACCACCACCACAACCACAAAACAAAAGAACAACATATCATAAAACATGGGCTGCAGAAAAAGCAGTGTTCAGAGGGAAATTTATAGACATCAATGGCTACATCAAAACAGAAAAAAAAAATCACATGTCTAATCAATAACCTAACTTCACACCTCAAAGAAAAAGGGGGCAGAAAGGAGCAAACCAACCCAAAGCTAGCAAAATGAAGGAAATAAAGAGTAGAGCAGAGATATCTAAGAAAATAGTAGACCAACAGAGAAAAATCAATGAAACCAAAAGTTAGTTCTTTGAAAAGGTCAACAAAATTGACAAACCTTTAGCTAGACGGAGGGGAAAAAAAGAGGAGGCTCAAATTACCAAAAATCTGAACACACTTATAAGAAGTGAAGACACTGAATTAGTAATCAGAAACCTCCCAGTGAAAGAAAAGGCCAGGAGGAACCACTTCCCAACTCATTCTGTAAGGCCAGCATAACTCTGATACCAAAGCCAGACAAAGACATCACAATAAAACTACAGACCAATATTCCTGCAAACCAAACCCAGCACATATTAAGACTATGCAGCACATTAAAACTACGATCAAGTGGGATGCACCCCAGGATTATGAGAGCGATTCAACACACAAAAATCAGCTGATGTAATATACCGCATTAATAGAATGAAGAAAAAAAGAACCCACACGATCATCTCAATTGATTCAGAAAAAGCATTTGACAAAATGAACAAACTTTCAAGATAATGCACAACAAACTAGGAATAGACTAGAACTTCCTCAACCTGAAAAAAGGCATTTATCAAACCCCTAGAGCTAATAAACTCACTGGCAAAAGACTGAAAACTCTTTCC